AAAAAAAAAAAAAAAAAAGGCTGGGTGTGGCTCACGCCTATAGTCCCAGCACTTTGTTTGGGAGGCAGAGGCGTAAAGAATTGCTTGAGGCCAGGTTTTGAGATAAGCCTGACCAACATGGCAAGATCTGGTCCTACAATAAATCAAAAAATTATCTGGGTGTGTTGGTGCACACCTGTGGTTCGAGTTACTTGGAAGGCTGAAGCAGAAGACTGCCCGAGCCCCCCGTGAGTGTGTCACTGCACTCCAACCTGGGTGACAGAGTGAGACTCTGACTCAAAAAAAGAAATGTGGTGACAAGAAAGAGTGGATTAGGGGGCAGGCTGGAAAAGGTCATGGGGCCAGATTATCTCCAGTTGGAATTGGTTAACTGAGGTTACATTTTTACTTTTACTTTCTTTCTTTCTTTCTTTTTTTTTTTTAATTTTGAGTCAGAATCTCAATCTGTTGCCCAGCTGGAGTGCAGTGACACAATCATGGCTACCACAACTTCCACCTTCTGGGCTCAGTTGATCCTTCCTCCTCAGCCTCCTGAGTAGCTGGGAATATAAACACCACCACTCCTGGCTAATTTTTATATTTTTTGTAGAAACGAGGTCTCATTATGCTGCCCAGGCTGGTCTCAAACTCCTGGGCTCAAGAGATCCTCACACCTCAGCATTCCAAAATAGCTGGGATTACAGGTGTGAGCCACTGAGACCGGTCTTATTTTTACTTTCTAATTGTGTGTGTGTGTGTGTGTGTGTGTGTGTGTGTGTGTTCCCACTGAGGTATAATTTGCATGGAATAAAGTACATGCCTCTTACATGTACATCTTGATGAATTTTTACATCATGTATACACCCATGTAACCATGATCCTGATAAAGGTATGGAACATGACTGTGTGCAGTGGCTCAAACCTGTAATCCCAGTACTTTGGCAAGGTGAGGCTAGAAGATTGCCTGAGCCCGCGGGTTCGAGACCAGCCTGGGCAATATGGTGAGACCTTGTCTCTACAATAAATCAAAAAATTAACTGGGCATGGTAGCATGCACTTGTAGTTTCGGCTACTGAGAAGGCTGAGGTGGAAGGATTGCTGGAGCCCTGCATGTTGACACTAGGGTGACTATGAGTGTGCCATTGTACTCCAGCCTGGGCGACAGAGTGGGACTCCAACTAAAAAAAAAAAGATATGGAACATTCCCAGTGCCCCAGAAAGCTCCCTAATGCCCTATCAGTATCACCTGCCCTGCTCGATAACCTCTATCCTGACTTCTTTGACATTGATTAGTTTAACCTATTCTTGAACTTCACATAAATGGAATCACATAGCATAAACTCTTTTGTGTCTGACTTCTTTCATTCAACATAATATCTTTGAGGTTTATCCTTGTTCTTTTTTTTTTTTTTTTGAGTTGGAGTCTCACTCTGTCACCCAGACTGGAGTGCAGTGGGCGCTCCTGGCCACCGCAGCCTCAACCTGCTGAGCTCCGGCGATCCTTCCACCTCAGCCTTCCAAGTAGCGGGAACTACAGGCGCATGCTACCACGCCCGGCTAATTTTTGACTTATTGTAGAGATGAGGTCTCGCCAAGTTGCCCAGGCAGGTCTCGAACCTGTGGCCTCTGGCAATCCACTCACCTCAGCCTCCCAAGGCGTGGGATTACAGGCTGAGCCACCGAGCCTGGCTCCTTGTTCCTTTTTTTATTTAGTGGGTAATATTTCATAATACTGCCTCCTGCTTCTTTGTTTTACAATTGTTGGACATTCAGTTATTTCCAGCTTGGGGCTTCTATGAATAAAGCTGCTGCCAACATTTTTTCATGTGCTTTTGGTTGGTGCATGAGCTCATTTCTCTTGCTTGTATATACCCAGGAGTAGACTTGCTGGGTCATTGTAGAGATTTTTTTAATTTTTATTTTTTATTTTTTTTTGAGTATGAGTCTTACTTCTTCGCCCAGGCTGGAGTGCAGTGACATGCTCACGGCCACCGCAGCCTCAACCTGCTGGACTCAAGCAATCCTCCACCCTAGTCTTCCAAATAGCTGGAATTACAGGCATGCACCACCACGCCTGGTTAATTTTTTTATTTATTGTAGAGATGAGATCTCTCCAAGTTGCCCAGGCTGGTCTTGAACCCATGGGCTCAGGCAATCCTCTCCCCTGGCCTCCCAAAGTGCTGGGATTATAGGCATGGGCCACTGTGCCCAGCTGAGATGTATTTTTAACCAGAGTAGATGCTGTGAGGTTGCCCAAGTGTTTGATCCCCTTGACCCTCCCCCAGTGATGTCTGGGAGTTGCTTCCTGTCCTCACCAACGTGTGGGAAGTAGTATCTTGTGTCTGTTTCAATTAGCATTTTCTCATTGAACCATTATTAGGTCTCTTTCTTCAAATGTTAATTGGCTATGTGGATATCTTCTTTTGTGAAGTATCTATTCACATGCTATTGTCCACTTTTTAAAACTGGAGAACTTAGCTCTGTTTTCTCTAAAAGTCTTATGTGCAAACTAAGAATTTAGAATTTATGTCCAATCCTAAGAATAGGAATATTTTACACTAAATAATGTCATGTGTATGGCTGCTCCAGAACCCTCTGTATACCATCAAAGTTATCAGGATCACACTTCATTATTTGATAGGGAGCTCTGCCTATATCAAATTAAGTTGATCTGCCCTAAATTGCTTCTTAGCAAAGAGCTAATAACTAGATAATTTCAGCTCCTGATCTGCTGTAGTTCGTTGATATTGATAAGGAATGTCTGGAGTCTGTGTTTAGCAGTGAATGGCATCCCAAGTCATTGAGATAGGAAGGGGACAACCACAGCTGCCCTCTTCTCCTCACCCCACCCATCACCTCGGAGCAAGTCTCGTGACCATAACTGCAGAACCTGCACCTGATCCCTGTCATGTAGTCAAAAAGTCAGGCTTTCCTTGAAACTTGGTTGAAACAATTGTTGGGCATTAAATGATCAGTGAAAATCTCTTGTCTATCACTGATGACTTTTTTGACATTCTCTATCCTTTCTTTACCCACCTTAAAAATAATCATTTCTTGGCTAGGCGCGGTGGCTCATGCCTGTAATCCCAGCATTTTGGGAGGCGAAGGTGAGAGGATTGCTTTAGCCCAGGACTTTGAGACCAGCCTGGGCAACATAGTGAGACCTTGTCTCTACAAAAGATAAAGAAATTAACTGGGTGTGTGGCACATGCCTGTAGTCCCAGCTACTCAAGAGGTTGAGGCAGAAGGATCGCCTGAGTCCAGGAGGTGGAGGCTGTGGTGAGCCAAGATCATGCCGCTGTACTCTAATCTGGGAGACAGAGTGAGACCCTGACTCAAAAAAAAAAGAAAAAAAGGTGGGGGAGAGGTCACAAATTTAAATAAAAGGCAGGTAAATTAGTGAAATGGCCTAAATTTAGCAATAGAGAGTGGTGAGGTCTGAGGCAAAGTAGTGGCACATGGTCCAGCTCAGGGGGGCAGTTGCTGCTCACCTCTGGGCATGCTTCTGCATGAGAATGGGCCCATTATTGCTAGATACTACAGTTTTTTCCAGAGAAAGCAGAAATCAGGCCAACGGTCACCTGTCTTTGAGAGGGTGGCAGGTGTTAGGCTCAAAGTGCCCACTCCATGCTTGGAGGGGACAGTGGCACTGTCTGAAGGATTCCTTCTTTCCCTTCTATTGAGGAATGACACTTGTTGTTTACACAGAGTTTTCCAGAGATATTTTCATTTCTTACATCTCTGGTTTCAACGTGACTGTCCTTGGGTCCTAGGAGCCTAGACTAGAGCCTGGGCTCTTTTCCCAGAGTCACTTCCCGAGGGTGCTGGGGACCTGTGAATGACCATCCCTGGACATACTCACTGACTGTGGGCAGGGTGGGAGGGACACAGGGAATGGCATCTGCTCTTTATTAAGTTGTTCGCATTGGTCATCCCCATACGCTCACATTGGGTTTTATTAGTAAGGAGTTTAGTTAGCTTTACTACTCTAAGTTCAAGGGTAGGGCTAAGATTGGGTTAGGAAACTAGGTAGGGAGCTCGCCTGTGGCCACAGGGAGGTGCTCTTTGTGGACAGTGGTGTTGGTACTGGTCACTCGGTAGTGGCCACTGTCATGGCTGCCCTCTGGGTCTTGGAGGTTTGCAGATCCCAGCCAGGGTCTGTAGAGCTAATCATTCTGAGACAACCTGTCTTCTGTTTTGTTGAGAGAGACAGGTACAGATATTGATAAATTTCATTCATTTTAATCGGAGCCTGCCCTTTGATAAATGATTAATTGATTTCCATGATTTCCATTTCTGAATTGTGTTGGGGTGGGGGGGGACTAAACCCAGGTTCCACCTGGCCAGAAACTACGCTGGATCTCCCTTCAAGGAGTCCCTCCAGGTGACCTTGTCCTCAGGGGTCATCTCGCCTCCTGCCTGTTCTAATCTGCTCCAAGTCCCTTTTGCTGGACTGAAGTTGTCCAGTCCTTGAGGTGGGCAGAAGGGAAGCCCCAGGCACCGCCAGGCAGTGGGCGCCTTCTGTTCTCTGCCCTTCCCTGCAGCCAGGTTCTGCTAGGCTCAACAGTGACCCTGATCCTGCCTCTCTGCCTGGGGGTGGGCAGGCTGCAGAGGCAAGGTAGCAGGAGAGCACAGAGCACCACTCCAGGGCCCCCCCAGGCTGCCTCCCCACCGATCCCGTCCCTGACGGAGCAGCCATCGCCAACCCCAGGCAATGCCATCTGGGCCACACCTTCCCAGGACCCTGAGAGTCTAAGGTAGAGCCTTGTCTTGCTTCTGGACCAGCCCCAAGGTCGGGCTACGTCACCATTTTGCCTAACACCCAGCTATCTGTGACTCATCATTAATTCCTAAGCTTCCAGAGAATGGCCAATATCATTGTGCTTTAAAGAACTGAAGAGTTAGAAGAGAAAACCCCAGTCTATCCAGCTCTTTTTGTGGCACTCTTTATGTTTAAGACCCAAATTCCAGCCTTCTTCACCAGACTAAGCCATAAGAGTTGCTGTCAGACTGAAATTTATACTTGGGTAAGGGTCATTTTCACAGTCAACATTAATATCAATATGTGCTATTCACTAAGAACTCTGCAGAAACAGGCTGGGTGTGGTGACTCAAGCCTGTTATCCCAGCACTTTGAGAGACTGAGGTGGGAGGATTGCTTGAGCCCAGGATTTTGAGACCAGTCTGAGTAACATAGCAAGACCTCATCTTTACAAAAAAAAAAATCAAAAAAATTAGCTGGATGTGGTGGCGCATGCCTGTATTCCCAGCTCAGGAGGCTGAGATGGAAGGACTGCCTGAGCCCAGAAAGCTGGGGCTGCCGTGAGCAGTGATCAAGTCACTGCACTCCAACCTGGGCAACAGAGTAAAAAAAAAAAATGGAACTTTGGTGACACAGCCCTCTGAGGTAAGTTCTGTTCCTACCTCAGGAAAGAAGAAAGATGAGGAAAGAGGAAAGATGAGGAAATTGAGGCTAAGGGAGGTCACAGAATTTGCTCAGATTTGCACAACTAGAAAGAGTTGGAATTAGAATCAAAGTTTCTCTCTGCATCTCTGCTTTCCACCACCCCTCCATTCCCACGCCCTCTTACCCCTGCCACCTCCCAGAGCCTTGGGCAGTTTAGCCCATAGTAGGTGGGTGGGAATCACATATTCCCTGGTGTATTTGAAGCATATACAAACCCAGGTCTAGGAATTCTAATAAAATACCTTGTGGCAAAGATGGCATTGTAATTTTAATTCTACCAATGACTTCTTAGCGTCACCAAGAACACATTTACTCAAGCTTACAATGGCGAAATAAAATCTTCGTCTCCCAGCCCATTTCAGTGCACTTAATTAAATTACTAAATTACATGCTGTCTCTTTATTATGTGATTATTACTTCAAAATCAGTTGATTCATGGCTTCTTTCTTTCTCAATTCAATTATGGCTTCTTTGCTTTATGAATTGTGTAGGAGTGTAATTACCATACAATTCTCCATCCTAGTTCAAGCCTAAACTGAAGCCATATTATGTACAATTCGTCTTGCTCTTTCTCCCATTTTTACTTTAGCAATTGTTTCTTTGCTTCTTTTTTTGTTTGTTTTTTCGAGTCGGAGTCTCACTCTGTTGCCCAGGCTGGAGTGCAGTGGCACGCTCATGGCCACCACAGCCTCAACCTGCTGGGCTCAGGCAATCCTTCCACCACAGCCTTCCAAGTTGCTGGAACTGCAGGCGTGCACCACTACACCTGGCTAATTTGTTGACTTATTGTAGAGACAAGATCTCACCAAGTTGCCCGGACTGGTCTCGAACCTCTGGACTTGGGCAATCTCTTGCCTCACTGTGCCTGGCTTAGCAGTTATTTATGATGTTCACCTGCTCTGTCACTATGCATATTCCCTGATACTCTGGCCTTGTGATTGAAAATGACTTTTGGTCTGCTGGGCAGTGTGGAGGCAGCAGTGTGTGTATGTGTGTGTGTGTGTGTGTGTGTGTGTGTGTGTGTGTGTGGGCTTGCCCTGATATGCTTATTTCATTTCTGGAACAGAGGCTAAAAGGAAATTTGCATCTAAAACTGGTTAAGAACTTGGAAACAATGGCCAATGATGTTGGATCACATCAGCCATTCTAATGAAGGTCAGAATCCTTCCATGGGAGCATAAGTCAAGTAACTGGTTTTACTAACTTTGTAAAAGTAGAATTCAATTTAGAAAATATAAGTTATGTGCTCATTAGGAAATTTCTGATTTGAAACACAGCTAACATGGCAAATATTTTATACCTATTTCTCTACTAAAGAGAAACTTGAGAATAGTAGAGTTCCTCAGAATAGTAAGTTTCTGTAGGAGTAAATAAAAGGCTTCTTGTATGTTAGAGATAATCAACTTCTACAGCAACATTTATGAAATAGTCAGTGTTGAGACATATTTACTTTGCCTTTCTCTTCATGTCTTTTTCCTCTCATGATTTTTATTTTTGTTTTGCAGATTCAAGACGATTGGAAGTATGTTGCCATGGTGATCGATCGCATTTTCCTGTGGGTTTTCATCCTGGTGTGCATTTTAGGGACAGCAGGGTTGTTTCTGCAACCCTTGATGGCCAGGGATGACCCATAAGCACGAAACTGTGTGCTTGTCCCAGGGGCTCACTTGTGTGGGGAGGGAGAAAGGCTGCTTCTTAATAGCAACAACCACTTTTGGTTATCAAGCTACTCGCTTGGTTTTTGGCATTTCAAGGTTTGTTTTCCAGTTGTCCTGATTTTTGTCAACAACAACAAAAAAATCATGCAAGAAAAATATTGAGTATTTACTATAGCTAAGCGTTTGACTAGCTTTTGTGGCAAAGAAATGTCAAAATATAATTCTTGTACATGGATACATCATATGCTGTGCTATGGACCATGTAAAAATGCTCTTTTTAAGTTATTAAGACATAATAACTGGATAGAAAAGTCCTTTTCAGAAATATGAAAAGCCATTCCGTTCAGTATCGCTGCAGATCTCCCTGTGGTTTTTCTTTTTAGCTCATAATCTCCTTGGAGTTTTACACTATTTCGGCAATACCCCATTGCTGTCATTTCCCACCAATTTCTTACTCTCAAATGTTTCTCAAGAGTCTAAGGGCCATGACTCCCTCTCAGAGGGTTTCAACTACTTTTCTTGCATAATCTTAATAAATTATGCCATGAGAAATGCTGCCAGTTACTCATTCGTTGTTAGGAAATTGTCTCAGTACACCATAAGCTGAATGGCTTAGAAACAACAGAAATTTATTTCTCAGTTTTGAAGGCTGGGAGATGTGATGAGAGTTCTAGCTGTGTCCTCACATGGCTCAAAGGGCTGGCTAGCTCTTTCGGATCTAACCCTTCATGAGGGAAGAGCACTCCTGCCTGGCCTAATCACCTCGAAAAGCCCCACCTTCCAGTGCTGTCACACTGAGGATTAGGTTTCAGCATATGAATTTGGGACGGACATGAACATTCAGATCATAGCATGAACCTTTAGAACAGGGCTTCTCAACCTCAACATGACTGACATCTTGGGCTGGATAAGCATGTGTTGGGATGAAGAAGGGCCGTCCCACCCATTGTGGGGTTTTGAGCAGCATGCTGGCCTCCACCCTTGAGATGCCAATGACACACCCCCCTTCCTCGCCAGCTGTGACTACTCAAAATATTTCCAGTTTCTAGACACTGTTAAATGTCCCCTTGGGGGCAAAATTGCCCTTGGTCGAGAAACGTTGCTTTAGATAAATTATGAAGAAGGAGTGTCACGGACTACACTGCTAGATCTGAATAACCTCCGACAGAGATGATTCACAGAGACCACTGGAATCTTCTCACTAATCGTGTTTTTCCTATGCAGAAAATAAAACGGACAAAATTACAGCCCACTGCGACTCATGTTTCAATAAGTCTAAAGGAGTAGTTCTACACTATTTATATATAAAGATCTTAAGTAACAGTAATGGCAATAGTCAGGTTAAGGACTGCATACAAGCTATGAGCTACCGGGCAACCTAAATTCATGAAGTCAGGCTTCCCTCATTAAACGACAAGGTCCCCTCTGCCTTCCAAAGAGATTCCCTTGAACTTAAGATAGGTTACTTTCTATAAATAAATGATTTCTCAGCAGCTAAGAAGAGATCTAAACTCAATGCAAGGTGTCTATCAGTATTTTCTTTCTGGGCATACCTGAATCAGGGACATTTAGAAATGAAATTTAGCCAGGCTCGGTGGCTCAGCCTGTAATCCTGCGCCTTTGGGAGGCTGAGGTGAATGGATTGCCTGAGCCCGCGGGTTCGAGACCC